CGAAATTACCTTCACTTGCGCCGGAGCAGTTTCGAATTTTGACAGGCGGGTCAGCCAAGCTGCTGCCGATCAAATTAGGGTGCTGCCTCCGGCGGACTTTGAGCGGGTTTGGGCGAACCGGACGGGGTTCCGAGCGGTCGATAACGATTTCGGGTCGGGGCAGCGGTAGCGGGGCGTCGTTTTCGAAAGTGAGAGAGTGTTTGCGAAGTTTGGAGAAGGAAGGGACCTTGGAGAAAAAGCCGGGGGGAAGGGTTTGGAGGGAATCGCCGGTAGGGACGAGACGGGACTGATCAGAGGGGCGGCGGATCTGGAAAGGCAGGGATGAGGGCAGAGCAGAAGGAATTGGGGGCGGGTTAAGGGGTTTTGGAGCGGGGTGAGGAGATGACGTTATGGGTAATGGCAGTGGCGTTGGAGGAGGAGGAAGAAGATTTGATTGTCTCGGAGGAGTGGCGGAGACGTGAGAACCATCAGAGTCTGAATCGGAATCCATGGAGAATTTCCAGAGCTAAAAGGATACGAGAAAGAGACTGAACTGGTATAAGCCTTTGGCTCTTTCCTAATTTTCCCGCCAAAATTTTGGAGGTTTTTCTTCACTCTCATAATATTTTTAACGAGAAATTTTATAAATAAATGAGAAAGTTGGACAGGAAATGAAAAAATTTAGACCATTTCTCGTACATGTCATTTTTGCGCAGGAAACGTACCAATCTTCTCTGCATCGTTCCAATTTGATAGGACGCCCTGCGAAGGGGCAAAGAATATATAAACCGTTCTAATTACTATTCTCTAAGAGATGTGGGATAGACGTTGCTGGCAACCTCTCAACAAGGTTTTGCTACAGACTGTTTCTCATCCCTGAGTGCCACATAAAAATAATATACATGCTATTGTGTATACTTTTTGCATTAAAATGTATTTTTTGGCTATATTATTCTGCATATGCCATGGCTCCATAGAATAATTACAGAGTATTAATCAGTATAATTTCTTAAAAACGCACACAATTATTTGTAATTAACTTTTTATATTTTTTTAATTAAATAGTTATTCTATAATACTTGGTTCTTATATTGAACAATTGAATATCTAGTCTCTAATTAATAGAAATCTTTTGAAACATAATTAATATAAAGTTTTATTAATTTGTCAAACAAAATAAAATTGTTGATTTTTCATACATATCGTGTTGATCAATTAATAGATATACACATATAGATGTATTATGTGCATGCATTTTGGTTTTATTTGACAATTAAGACATAAGTTCTATTCCATATATCTAATTCTAACAATAGCTTATCGTATATATAAATATACATATATGTCTGCATCATTAACAAAAATACGCCCATTGTCAGGATTACTATAATTTTCATTACATAAGAAACTAATACAAATTAGAGTGTAACTCTCTAAAATCAAGATACATTATCTCCTTAACGAACACGAAATATAAAATACATACATTTATTAATTATTTTATGTACATAGATCAATTATAATATAATACAAATAACCTTTAAATAAAAATATATATAAGAGTACAATTTGACTCAAATCTATAATCTCTTATAGAGAAATAGATATATCAACTATTAAACTAAAAATAAAATATAAAATGTACAGATTTATCAATTAGTTGATATACGTACACTAATCATGATTGAATACAAATAATCTTCAAATAAGAATACACATAGGAGTGCAGTTTGATCTAAATCTACAACTTCTTATAGAGGAAGAGACGTATCAACCGTTAAAGTAAATAGTTGTTTGTAAGATTGCATTTTTTTTGTTTGATAATTGTTTATTATATTATCATATTTGGTTGCACATAAACTAAACTTTGATGTTTATTGTTAAGGATTTTTATATATAGATCAGTGTTTTTCAATTTTTATATATTAGTAACGATTAAAAACTATACTTAATTTTGTAGTGTAGACGACACACATTTTTTTTTCATAAGGATGACAGAGAATCAGTTGAGATATTAAAATTTTAATATTTTTAAGAAAATTAAATATCTAACTAAACTCTTTATTTTGCTGTTTATGTCGAAAGAAAAAAATGTATACAAATTTTCTCATATACATTCAATAGTCTTTTTTCAATACGAATTAAAGCAAGATAGTAAGTAAAAAGTCCCCATTTACGAATGAGTATAACATAGATGAGGTCGATCTTTCATGATGTTTAACTGATTAGTTGTTGGGTGCTAGGAACCGAGTTGTGTAACCCTGTTGCATTATTATGTTCAAACAGTTTGCTTTCAGGCATGTTGATCGGGATCTTGGAGGGCAATGGTAACTTATACAAAAATGGATAAAAAGGTCAAATTCACATATAGATGATGGAAATTTTAATTTTTTGGAGTAGAAGTTAATATGTTTTGGTAAGAGGAAACAAGTTAACACCTTGGATTTGGGTGGATAAGGAACGAGGTAGAGAGTAGTGGATGGTGGAGTTAAAAAAAAAAATGAATAGGATATTTAAAGAGTTTGTGGGTGCTTTTGTCCCACACAGAGTGGGAGAGAGGTTGGTAATGATAAAAGGACAATAGAAAAAAGGGATCGGAGAAAAAAACAACTCATACCTTTCTCGGCCTTTTGGCTAAGATCAAGTGTAGTATCTGTTCTTATCAGTTTAATATCTGATACGTGAGTCATTGATTCACATGATATTAAATTAATTTTTTTAGGGGGAATAACTGTCATAATAGCTTGCTATTGGGTTTTTCAGAGTGTCGTCTGTGTGTTCCACTACAGCAAGGACCTGGCCTACCCCACCAACTCTATTAAGAAAATTTCTTTTTTCATTGGATATGATATTTTAAAATTATATATACTATTTATTTAAATTTTAGAATATGAAAATAAAGACAATATGAATGATATAGTTATCCAATTGAATTTTTAAAATATTATAATTTTTAAATGTAAAAATAAAATTTATTTATTAAATAACAAAAATATATGTTGTATAATTTTTGTTAATTAAAAGATGTGAACAACCCGTGATTGAGATGTAGTTATTTATAACTGCATGTCCACAGTCCTCCAAGATGAAGATGGCCCCTGATGAAATAAATTAAGTTATAATAACTTTCGCCTCTATTAAAGAATATAAATCTAATTATTTAATCAACTATCTTCATATTTTAGTTTAAATAATATATATATATTTTGTAATTTTTGTAATATGTATAAGTTAAATATGATTTATGTACTATAGGCCAACCACCATTGATTTATGATATTTGATTAAGAGAGATCTTAAAATTAGTTTATTAATGTGTTGATAAGACTGCAGTGACTAAGTTATTTTTTCCAATAAACCATAATATATTCAAATGTAATATGTCATAATGCCTTGTTAGCATTATGTATTCATATGCCAGGAATGACGTTGGAGGGAAAGATCCCGCAGGAGTTGAGTAACTTGAAAAGCCTTGTTAGCTGTATGGCAAAACAAAGATTCCCAAGTCCTTCGCCAAGTTGAAATCACTCAAGTTCCTGTAAGCATTTCTAGCTTAACTAGTGAGTTATCTATATAATTCATCCGAACATGTTTTATAGGTTTATCTTTGTAGGTTTGATCTAACTTGTTGGTACAGTAAATTGAACAACAACAAGCTCTCCGGGTCAATCATTAAGGGAACTCACCAACCTCCCGAATCTCAAAATTTTGTAAGTTTAAGTTAAAATATTACTTTCGAATTGTAATTATATTTTATTCATCTCTAACTTATATCTTATATTTCGCGTCCTTTATGTTGTAGCAATGTCTCGAATAATGATTTATGCGAAACAATTCTAGTTGATGACCCATTTGGGAGTTCCCCAATAGAGAGGTATAGTTTGTCTCTTTCTACTCATTTAAATAGTAGAGCATAAAGATTCTGCATATTGTTAAGAAATGGAAGCAAGCTTATGTCTCTCCTCATATCGAATAAGGCAAAATAGAGAAATTTAGTAACGGGAGAGTATCGGGATGGATTCTTCCAATTCTAACTTCAGCCACTTATGAATTAGGTCGTTTATGTTATTTAAAAATAGGAAAAGTCGATTTCATTGTTCTGACTTCTGAGTTATTTGCAAAGGTGTCATGTTAAAGTAAGGTCGAGTTCACAATATTGATTATAACCAGTAACTTTTATGTTGCAATCATATAAATTTATATAGTAATCTAGTTATTGCACAATATTAAGTAATTGTTCACATAATTATTAAATTATTATGAAATACTATAATTTCAACATGAAGGCATGATTCCACAAGACTACATTTTCCTAAAAACCATTTATTTAAGTAATTCTCTTTTTCCCTTTTTGATAGCCTTCTTGCCTATTATCTTTGACTGTATTATCAAATTTCAGATTGTTTTGAAACATGATGATGTTGGTGGTTCTCCAAGGGAAATGGCTGAAAGGTGGCTTCTTTGTAACACCAAGTGTTTTTCTTTTTCCTTATTTTATCTTATTATTTTTTATTTTTTATTTATTTGAATTTTTTTAGATTTCTATTTAATTTAATTTAATGAAAATAAAAATAATAATAATGATAAAATTATGTAAAAATATTATTTAGATTTAATTGAAATTGATTTTGGGAAAAAATAGGTGAAAATTTGGATTCTAGGGGTGTTTTTGAAAAGAAAATCAGAAACCGAGGGTCAAAACGTAATTTAGAAAAGTTATGCCACGTCAGCAGCCACGTCAGCGGCCCGGTCAGCAGCCCCGGCCAACCAAGCCACGCTGCATGGCAAGGAAACGCTGACACGGGACGGGCCATGTGGGCGATCCGTGTGCCTATGATCGGACGGCCCAGATCCATTCCCGCGCGCACGGACGGCCCAGATCAAACGTGCGCACGGACGGCCCAGATCACGCGTACGGACGATCCAGATTCAATCAGGCACGGACGGCCCAGATTGCATCGCGATAGACGACCCAGATTTAATCCCAATTAAATCACGATCGAACGGTCCAGATTTAATCTTGATGGACGGTTGAGATTAAAAGGCAAAGGGTATAAATAACCCCACCCACACCTAACCACAAAACCCTAGCCGCCAGTGCCT